TTGTCATCTGGCTCCTGAGCAAATCTTGACTTATCAGTAAACATAACATTAACCCAGTCAGACACATTCCAATTGACATGTTCCCGGCACCACTGTAATCGTGCCCCTCTTGATTGGACGGATAGAGGAACACAAACTAGAGGTACCCGGGCGTACAGTCCACTCATATGTAATCTTCGGTGTACAGTAGCTGCAGATATCGCCTTACCAATGGACGCTGTAACCAGAGACCTCACACGTGTGGAGGTCGCTCTGCGATTCCGCTTGGCTACAATAGCAATATATCGATATTCCGCGGGGATTGTAACCCTTAGGCGACCGGCTATGGGCCTTCGGACAACTGTGTGTGTGGTTTGGAATTGTTTCCATAAAAGTGAAATTACAGAATGATGAACGCCGAAGAAAAGAGCAACATCTGTGATTGACTGTCCTGCTTCAATGCGTCTCACAGCACGCCAGGGCTCAGAATCTTCCATTCGTCTTCTGGAAGTCATAGAAACACGTATGTCTTGAAAACAAATTGTACGAAAGTTTTAAACACCTTCTATCAGCACTGACAATCAACTTCTGTAACCCTTCATAAAGCTGGCTTCTTATAAGACTACCTTTTTTGCATATGTCTTGACATGAAAGCGCGATTGGCTGTTATTTGCATACTTCCATCTACCTCTGCAGCGAATTGCATCCTCTTCATTTCTGATTGGCTTCCGGAAATTAGCATTTTCCTCTCCGTGCTTAACTTTTGGAAGTGAGTGTATATAGATAGATGATAATTTTAACATGTATTTTCTCGAGGGTTATGAAAAAGAAAAATGGATTTCTAATCCCTCTTTTTTTTTTTTTTTTTACCTTAAATTTTCCCTCATGAAGAAAAAGAACAACTGATAGAAATTTCCTATGATCCAACTTTAACTGAAGATTTCAGAAATAGGACACTTGTTAACTTTTGGCTGAACCGAAAAAAATGATTTAAAGGCACTTAAAATAAAGCTATTAAATTTGTATTGCCTTTTTGCACAACCTATTTGTGTGAACAGAGATTTTCTTCCATATTATATTTGAAAAATTAATACAGAGCAAAATTAAAAGTGGATCCTAATTGACAGTTCAAATTAAGTGAAATAAGAGACATAAAGAAATTAATCTCTCTTAAACAGGCCCGAATTTCACACTCAATTTTAGAATTAAAGCATTCTAACTTAAATTTTTATGATTAAAATGGTAACCAATTTCAATCTAATATTTTTATTTGTACATATTTAATACAAATAGCCAATAGGTTGTGCAAATGGCAAAATATGTACATTTTAAAAAATATTTCTATTGAGAAATTAAACAATGATCATTGTAAAATGTAGTGGTGGTACTAAAATTTTTCAACTTTTGTTTAGATGGTACGCGTCAGTCAAAAGGTTGAGAACCGCTGCTTTGGCTTTATTTACACGCATTCTCCCCTTTTTTACTACTTTTCCAAGTTCATTTGCATTAATAAACAAAATAGTGTTGTTACCAAGTTACATGATGGTTAAAGTATCTGTTAATATCCTCAGCAACATCCTTTTGAAGAAGAATTTATTTTTTTATATATATAATTAGTTGCTTGGTTAATAATATTTTTTTCTCTTATCTCTGAATTTTCAGATTTAATTAAAAGTTTTGTTGCTATAAAAAATCACATGCGTTTCAAACACGCTGTTTTTTTTTTTTTTTTTTTTTCCGCATCTTTGAATTTTAAGATTTAATACTAAATTTTCTTTCTCCAAAAAACCGCATCTTTCAAACACGCTGAAGAAATAGCCAAGCTAATTTCAAAGCCATTTTAGATCAAAAGGAGAAAAGGTGCTTACTTTTTATTATGACTTCCCCATTATTTTTAAACAGCGTCAAGAGCTTTCTTATTATATAACTTCGCTAAAGCGGCAACTCTACTCAGAACTATTCGCAAACTGTCGTTAAACAGTCTTCCTAGTTAGTCTGCCCTTCACGGCTACCATTTGGTTCAGTCCATTATCAAAAGAGCTCTTGGCGACATTTAAATAGCAGTGCCCTTAATAATGACGAAGTACAGGGGAAAAAAAAAAATCCGGATAGCTTTGTTTTCACTGCTTTAAAAATTCTAGAACACAGTATGATAGACTATTTATCATCCTCTTGTAAAACACCCCTACTCTATGTTAACATAACTGATACATTTTTTTTTTCCTGTCATGGACATATTCTAGATATTTAACCATTAAAATAGTTGCAAAAATTGTGAGGAAAAAAAAGAAAAAAAAAAAAAAAAAAAAAAAACCGAACACATTTCGGGGGCGGGGAAAGCGCGAAACGACTTTTACAGATAAAATTGACATACATCTAAATATTTTGAGAGAATTACACAGAGGTAAATATTTATTAAAGAAAATTAGAACAAATGAAATTAATTTTAACGCTATGATAGCATTTTTTTTTTTTTTTGCTTTTGATAAAAATTGGCAAATTGAAAGATAAAGACATTTTAAAACAAGAAAGACGGAAATAAGAATATTTTATCTTACTTAACATTCTTTTTCCAAAAAATTTAATTATAGTACGCTGTCTTTATTTTAACAATATCGTTATAACACTATTATGCTCGTTAATAAATCATGAAATTCACAAATCACCGTTTAATTTGGTAGGCAATTTGATTTTAAAGTTGATGAAACGTTCATTCATCTCCACACTTCGCAATGCACACAACAGATTTAAAATTAAGAGAAGAGAAAAGGGTTGTTTTTGGCATAATAAAAGGAATAAATTCAAATGGTTACCTGAATGTCTGAAAAAAAAAAAAAAAAAAAAAAAAAAAAAAAAAAACCCGCTGTAAATAAAAATCACCGAACTGGTATGATTTTTAGTGCCTTTGCAAAAAAATATTGGTAAAGGATTAGTTTCGCGTCTAAGATCTTGAAACTTCAGCGGGTTCCTTAAAAGTTAGGAAAAATTTTTGAAAATTGGCAGATATACATAAACTGCAGGTTTTATACAGGTTGTTGGAACTTACAGTTCAACAGAAAAATTGATTCGACAGTTAAACAGCATCGTCAAACTTTCTCTTTTACTTATTTTATTTGACTGATTATTTCTTCTTAAAAGAAATACTGAAAATGTTTCCAATTGTTCTTTGTTGCAATGGAAGAGGGGCTGCAGAACTCTCCGCATAAAATGTAACCCTCCCCAGATTAAAAACTGTTCTAATACTGGCATATTTTTTTCCGGAATATTCTCCCCATTTTTTAAGAGCCACACTCTTGAAGAACTTTTGGTCTTTGTCCATATCAATGAAAAATTAATTCTCTGCACTGCTCGAAGGTGTGCTTATAGAAGAAATGCCTGTGAACGATTTCAACTGTTGCACATGGTGCCAGTGTGAATAGATGAAAGCATCCCCGTTGATCTACCAGCTAATATGAATAACGGAGTGACCTCAGATCCTTCTTATATGATCAAATTTCAAATCTTAAAGACCAAGTGGACAATTTATAAGCTGAATATGAGAGATATCAGTCTTTGAATCAGAAACTGGAAAAAAAAAAAAAAAAAAAAAAAAAAAAAAAAAACCGTGCTGCAGGACAAGCCAGCTAGTTAATCGACGGATTGTGTGATATATTAAAGAAAGTAAAGATACGGTTGGACTTTGAAAGCAGTGGAGTTATTTTGTTCCTTCAGGCTTTATTCTCTCTAATCTAAATGTTAATGCTAACCTTAATGAGGGTTAAAGCTAACCCTAATCAACCTATATCACAGATAATGACTGAGCAAATTTTGCAATTTAATACATAAAGCATTTCAACTCCATTTTACACTAAACTCTTCGGATTTTCATTGCTGCTGTGTCAGACACTTAAGTTCGAAATTCTGTTCATGATGATCTGGCTACACTTCTGACACTGACGTACCTTCAATGTAAATTCTTTTTTTAGCGGTCGGACTCCCAGGGCCAAAATTCTAGCTACTATCTCGAAGCAGTGGATATTAAAAAATATCCAGAAAATATCTGTGCCAAAATATGGTTGTTGTTTTCTTTACCTAATTTTCAATTTTACATTGGTAAGATCTCTTCTAATGACGCATGCTTTCCGAGTATTCAGATTAGGATATAGCATCGGTCAAGTAATTTTTAGATAAATTATGAACCATTCGTAAATGAACAGTTCAAAAACTTTTGCATGAATGACATTATGAAGAGTTCATAAACAAACTTTCGCATTTCCTAAATCAAATTCTGTGAAAATGCCTATTTATGTACTTCTAATTATTTTATATTAAATTAGTAAAATTCTACAGCTATTTTGCAGCATACTCCCCCCCCATCACTTAATGTTATCAAAATAGCCATGTACATATGTCATCACATTAAGCGGCTTCTACTGCAGTTGAGAAACTTTTTTTTTTGTTTGGATGATTAACTTTTATGCATAAATATGTATAACTTGTATTTAATAAGGTACACATAAAGAAATTTCATAAAATTAGTTACATTTTAATTTTCAAATTATATTTTACAGCGGCGCCGAAATACAGCCTTGCATAAGGGCAACTCATACCCACGGGGCAGGCCTTGATCCTTCTTTCCTTTTGATTCGTTAACTTATGCAAAACACATCATCGAATGGTTTTTCGCCATTGTTGTAAAGCACTGCAGCTCAGAACATGTTGTACAAACTAGCTTTAGGGAGACCTGTTTCTACGAAATGCTACCAACTGCACTTTGAAAACCACAGATGTGATACAAGCTTTAAAGTGGAAAAATAGTTCTCAGCTAATTTAAATTGTTACATTTCACTATATAATAGCCATTTTCACTTGTTGCCAATCCCCCTCTTTAGTTTATGAACCATTTGTTCCTTTAACATTCAAAAATGTTTTTCCGGGCAAGATAAAACCAGAAGCACTTAATCGGCAGTTGCCGGTGCACCCCTTTTCCCGTTCTTAAACAGCAAAACAGCTAAAAAACACTGAGTAAAAAAAGAACTTACACAGCAATTCTTTTAGGTGGGCACTGAAAACTACCATTGGCTTTATACTGAAAGGAAGCAAATGCAACTTCAGGTGGAACTATATAATGGAACATTTGTACATCTTTATAACCTCGAAATGGGTACAGTTGTCGGGCTTCTAAAACTTGCATCTGAAAAGAATCTGAAAGAAAGATAAAGTTAGCAATCAATACATTACATGCACCTTTCAGATAATTTTATCATATTTAAATAAATAAAATATAGTGAACCTTCTTGTAGCGACAATCTATGAACTTGCAAAAAATAGCATTTCTAAGAACATAGTTATGTACTAGAATCGGTAATTATAATGTTACTCTGTACGACAATTATTCGCTAACCCGACGAAAACATCATTAATATATTAAGAAGGCAAAAAAAAAAAAAAAAAAAAAAGTCTAATTTTGTTATTAAACTAAAATATTTTATGTATTAAACAAATTAAGGAGTTACATTTGCAGTTTTTACTATAACAAGAAAGTAGTTTTATGAACACTGTAGTTAGGAATTTTCTAATCATTAATTTTATTTTTGAATCTTTAAATGATTATCTGATCAAGGCCCACTAGTGGCTGAGTGGTTAAGGCTACTGAATAAACCCAATTCTGTTTTTAAATGAATTTTACTTAACATGAATTCAAAATATTACTCAAAGTTTTATTCTCTTTTTACGCATGTCAGTTTGATTTAGCACGAGTGGATCAAGCCAGTTTCTAAGATTTGTTTTTGGTCTAAATCGAGTAATAATTGAATTGAAAATCAAAAACTCAATAATCATTTTGTCGAATATAACCTAATGAGGAACTTGCTGGGAAGTTTCAATGGGAAATGCAGTTCTCGACAATCTTTGTCAGATAATTACCTAATGACCTAAACAAAATTTTCACAATATTACTGAAAACTCAGCTCTAGAGGATATTCGTACTGATTTTTCTCAAAAGATCACAGAAAGATTTAGGTCAACTGACAATGAAGACAATGTCCACAGCCATAACAGTGGTATTGTAGTCACACGCAAATGTACGAGTGGTTTACTGTCAGAATGTGAAAACGAATAAAATCTTGTTATGGATAACAAAGAGTATTCCCCCCCCATCTGAAATGGAAATTCACTTTGGTACATTTTCATTACATATGTTTACATGTACATTTTATTGAAATAAAATAATAACTTTAAAGCTACTATTTACAGACCTTTTTTTTATAAACTACTTTTGCTGATTTTTTAGATCTGGAAACAATCTTCTTTCCTTCCATCGATATAAAGTTTTTCTTACACGAATTCTTTTAACAGATTATTCAAGAAGGTATCTATTACAGAAAATAAAAATTAGGCATTTTGATAGCTTGATCCCAGTTGGAACCAGGCAAATGGCTGGTGTTCACGGTTTAATTCGTCTGTGTATTAATACGAGACAGTTAGCATTAGAAAGTCTTCTACAAAGGCGCATCTATCTTTAGGCAGATGGGCCTTGTGTGATTTGCCCTATTAAAATAACCTAATCCTCTTTAACTGATCAACATTCAACTTACAAGGTTTTATTTTATTATTTTTTATTATTTCTATACTTTTATTTTTCGTCCACTCCCACTAGAATACAAACTATTTTTAAAGTAAAAATAAGGAGTTGCAAGTAATTTTCTTCCTCCTCACTACGTGCCTTCATAATAATTAGAAGCACGAGCAACTAGAATCAGAAGGTCCAGAGTTTGAATTCCAGCGGTGGCATAACTGAATTTTTCTTATTTTTTCTTCGACAAATACCTAACTATTCAAGGTGGTGCCTGAACCAAAATACGATGGCCGGTAATTCGTCACCGCCTGGATTTGGTAACTGGAAGGACGTTTGGCCATCAACTGGTAGGTTTGGAATTTGAATCCCAGTGAGGGAATCATTGATTGTTCATGTTTTTTACTTCCACAAAAGCCTAATAATCTCTACAGAGTCACGTTTTAAAGTTTAGTGGACAGGGATTCGCAACTTCGGTTGACTGCTCTCTCTACTTTGTACTTATATTATTAGCACAATGCTTCTAGCAAAAATTTGTTACCTTTAATTCTCTATGTATAATTAGTGTCAGGGAAAGGCAAATTTTAAGTCAGACATAGCTTATATAGTGAAGATGCTCAATTTACTTAAAATTTTTTGTTTGTTCTTCATGCAAGTTAGTGGAAGTGGGACTTGCGTTCTAGCCTGAACTGAAGCATAAGTTGGCCTTAATCAAGCTTTCCTTTTTGGAGATAAGTTTGTTGAGATATGTATTTTCGGGCAGAAAATGTGAAAACCAACCAATTCCAGATTCGAAACACGAATCTTCTAGTGCTAGTTGGCCAAGCTACCAGACCAGTTACAAAACGAGAGCAAGCAAAAAGGAACGCAATAATTCCGTGTCTTATCAGTGTATGTATTGTTAACACACAAATAAATCTACATAGAAAAAAAAAACAAGCCATGTAAAGTACTGGGTTATGAGCAAACCTATGAAATACTAATTCAGAAGTCAAACAACAAAAATCAGCGTTATATTTTCAAATTTTCACAGGACTAGCTTCGATGGTTTTACCTAACCACCATCGAAACTAGTCCTGTGAAAATTTGAAAATATAACGCTGATTTTTGTTGTTTGACTTCAGAATTAGTATTTTTTCGGCGTGTTATTGTGTCTTAAACCTATGAAATGTTTAACAAAGGAAAGGAACCCTAGATTGATGAAGAATTCATACACAATTTTATTTTGTGTTTTATATAAAATATGTTCTGAGGTTCTTCTTCCTCTTACTATTACTAGTGATATTAATATTATTATTCAGTATTAAAAAGTTAATAAATAACTGGTTAAGTTACTGACTAGCAGTCAGACAGCAAGCTAGGTGAACACAAAGAAATTATGTTACAATATATTATGATTTACTTTTAGCTTATAAATATAAATTTGCAAAAAATAAATACGATAATAATAAAATAAATACACACTAAAACATGCATACACATGTACCGGAACCTTAAACTACATATTTATATCGAAATGTTGTAAGCAAAATTGTTTAAACATACAAGTTTGTGGTGATTTAATTTAATTTTTTATATAGTTATTTTTATTTTTAAAAAAACTTTCCTTTAATTTCTTATTTCCCACCTACAATTCCCTGCCAAAATGAGTTTTCAGGATCATGTTTTATGTAAACGAGGTAGAACCAGTAGTTAAGTTGAAGTGTCTGTCACTTAGGAGAAGAGCTTCTTAGAAGTTCTTAGTACAGCGTGTTCTGCCTTCAGGCCACGTCGTTGATTTAAGCTAATCTTATTATGTTCGTTCGTATTGTTACGTGCCTGTTCGCAGGTTAGGAGGGGGAAAAAAATGTAATTTTATGAAACTAGCATTTTCACAGTGGCTTGGTTGGCAAAGCACACTAGGGCTATCTGCTTAAGGGGAGGGTTGCCTTCGTGGTGGACTTTCTAAGCATTTTCACAGTGAATGGGTTGGGTTGGGTTGTGTAAGCAATATAATGCAACTTCTCACACAACAAACATTTCCAATTAACTACAAATACATTATATTTAAATTTGATGAATTTAAAGTTCTACACCTTTAAATGCAAAATTCATGAAGTTAGACTTACAACTTGCTCACTTAAACTACATATTTATTGCACTGACTTAAAATACAGAATTTTTAACCACTTCTGGGAAAACAATACATACGAACGAAATCAGTTACATCCCAAGACTGGGGCACCAGCATGATGGACCCCGATACGTTTTTTCAGAACAGTGGAATCACCCTTTTTCATTAGGTATAATGAGATAGCCCCATGACTTCAACTTCCATAAGACTATTGCATCTAAAACTGACTTCTGCTCAGGGCCGCTTGTATTTCACCAAATGCTTCTATACTGTCTTTATCTTTTATGTACGAAGAAACTCTCTTACAGAATTTCAAGTCACCAGCTCCAACAATTTCCTCAGATACTCTGGCATTTTAGCCTTTCGATCGGTTTCACGCATAGTAAATGTTTATTTTAAATTTCTAGCACTCTCCAAACTTCAGAAAATTTTATCATTGTTTACATTATCTTTTTCGCTTTATGGTTTGCAAAATTAAAAAAATACCAAAGTTGTTCAATAAGAGGTAGGGCCTTCGGTCCAGATATCCTGGTGCTAGCATTCTCTACCATGAAACCTCTGCTCAGGGCCGCTCCTAACGGGGGTGCATTACGTAAAAGTATGCGGGCGGCGACAATCAGGGGCGGCCAGACTCTCGCGATACCACGACTAAATATTTTAAATTCATTGTAAGTACTTTTTATACAATTTGTCACATGTAAGCATGTAGTACTGTGTGGCCCCAACTTGACAGTAACTGTGGTAGTGACTGCTATGAACTGTAAATTTACACAAACACGTAAGAAGGGTTTAAAGCCCTTTTTATTCCACTTTAGAAATAACAGCTGCGTTCACTTGACGCTTACAAACTACGCCGACCCGGCGGTTTAACAAAACAGAAATGTGAAACTAAAAATTAATGACAGGATGAATAAACAACTAGATCACTACCTACGAGGCTCTGAAATCGTAATTAACCTAACCGCGTTCTAAAATATAGCTGAGATTCAGCGAGCTTACTGATTAAGCAGTTGAAAGATTCAGCGAACTGCCGAGATAGGCACACAGGCCGAAACGCGCGGTTCTTAAATTTCTACCTAGCAACCTTCACGTTCGCGATTCAAGAAGCACCCTTACAAATTCGTTTTCCTTCTATTTAAACTCAACTTACTTCTGCTAAAATTTGAATATACTGCGCGTTCTACTACAATTTACATACTCTAGCATTGGCAATTCTAGGGGAAAGTAAAGGCTTGACAGGTAAGATAGCTTAAAATAAATCTAAGTTAAAATAAATATAAACCCTACAAGCATTTAGTAAGTATGAAATAAAAATTTTATTAATCATTGAGCTTTTTTTTTTTTTTTTTTTTTTTTTTTCTAATTTGGAGGCGGCAATCTGAGGAAAGTACGCGGGGCCAATGACCTAGGAGCGGTCCTGCTTCTCCTCATGTGTATATATTTTAAATGTCCTAAATCTTTTAGTCCATATAATGTTTTGCACCACATTACAATAGTCAATGACTCTTTTCAAGAGAC